ATTCTGCACAGGGAGAAATTCCTCAGAGCCAGCCTTTCAAGCTGCAGTTTAGAATTTTTTGGCAGGTGCTCCCCAACCAGTGAGGCCAATGCCCCAGAATAAGAGTTCAGGCCTCCCTGCACTGYCCAGGCCCAGAACTGGCAGCACATCCTGGAGTGTCTGCTGGCATCTGCCCTGTTGTTCCTCAGGAACAGGCTGAGCACTCTCACTGTGTTGCTCTTTTCCCTATTTAGCTTTTTCAGATATTGAGGAGAATTGTGTGAATCACATCCTGTGCTTTCTTGCCTTCCATCACCCTTGGTTTTGGTGACCTTCCTCTTTCATCTGCTGCTTTTAGGCAGTGCTTCAGTGATGCTGAGCTCCAGCAAAACTCCAGTTTTGTGCTGTGCAGCTCCTGGTACAAACTGTGTTGTCTGAGCACACACACAGGGGCGTCCCCTTGCAGTTGTGCAAAGGCTGCTGTGCTTTGTGTCATCTGGTCTCATGAGAAACTGGGAGATGGAGCACATCTCTTAGGGTTTGTGGGGTTATGAAATAGGTCTGGTCCATGATCCTGCCCACAGCCCATCATGACAAGCTGTGACTCGGCTGAACCCTGTGAGAGCTTTAGGGCAGTGACTGGGGGCTCCTGTTCCCAAAGCTGCTCTTCCCTCAAAACAGCAGCACTGGAAGACTTGTCTGAAATTCTGGGTTTGTTCACAATTGCCTCTGCACTTTTCTACAGTATCAGGGAACCTGTTTGATGTCTTATCAAAGCTATTGCAGCAATAAAAGCATAGTTACTCTTTGGTTCAGGAAGGTGGCAAAATGTCCATTTAGGTTTTTTGCAAGTCTGAAATTTAACCATGTCTATAATTTCACATGTCTGTGTTTCTAAATCATCACCTAAATTTTGCAGAAATTGGCCAAGCCTGCCTGGCTTTCATTTTACAAGTGTCTGTGTCACTAAGATGTCTTAAAAGGTATAGTTCTGCCTTCCAGTTTTAGACAGAAAGAGAAGATTTAATTTATTTTTGAAGTTCAGAAGGAGAAATCCAAAGGTTAACAGTTGGTTGGTGTATCAGATGTTACTTGGTATGTGTATCTGCTCTTTATTTTTGAATTTCTCTGCTCCTCCAGGTGTCATCTTGACATGAGTACATTCAATCTTGGCACTAAGGAGTGTACAAAACTTACTTGAAGGGTGGAGAAAAGAAACTACAGCATCCTTGTGTGCATCAAAATGCCTTGTAAAAGCTCTTCAGAGAGYGAGAATTCAACTCTCTGAAACAATTTTCATAAGCATTTGGTACAAACATGAAAAACAACATCTCTGTGTGCACTGTGCAAGCACAAGAGACTCAGATGATACTGCAGTTACATTAGTAAAGGGAGTGGGAATTTCTGATCTGTAGCACAGGACAGAGGAGAAGCTTTTCGAAGTATCCTGCTCAGAAGTGGCATTAATCCAGCAATATCCAAGCAATAAATCCTGTAAAGCCTGGTTAGTCCTGAGGGTGTTTGGGCTTTAWTTTGGAACACATAATTTAACGAACTTTTGAAGAGACCTCTAGGCAACAGCCCAAGCTCAGAAGGGCAGAGGGGAAAATGYTGATGGACAGTCCTACAGAGCTAGAACACAGTGGCTGTGAAGGAAAGGCTGCTGAATGGGCTGATGGTTGAAAGAAGCAAAGCAACCGCACTTGGCCTCACTAGTGGGCTCTTTGTCCAAGCTGGAGCCATCTCTTTGTTTAGGAAGTTCTTTGTGTTGGAAATGAGGCCATAGCCAGGCTGGAGCAGGAAGGAAGAGGCGGACAGTGATCTCACAGGGCTGTGCTCTGGGTGCAGAATGACAGCCGTGCAAGAAGTAGGTTGGCTGTGAGGGCAATGAACTTGGCCAGAAGGCTCCTCCAGCCCCTTGCATTGSTGAAATCTGGTGCCCTGCTGGAGCTTTGGGGCTGAGCTGAGGGGCCTGGGGTGGTCATGGTGTGGGACTCCTGCAAATTCAGCTGCAGAGCCAGCTGCCCTCCTCCAGCCCCACTTGTCCCCTCCTGTAAGCTCCCTGTGCTTCACAGAAAAACAAACARGTGCGTTCAGCAGAGGAGTACTTGTCACCCTGTTCCTGTTCCCAGGCTGGAGGAGAAGCCATTTACCTTCTCTCCAGTTGTTCCTGAGCACTTCCYCAGCATTTTATGAAGTGCTACAGACCTTTCCTGCCCTGTTACTGTGTCTGCTCTGCTCAAAGGGATGTTGAAGCAGCAGAGAGGTGTAAGATTTTTTTTCCCAGTGATGGAAATTGTCTRTATTGAAGTCAATAATGAAAATAGAATTTGAGTTTTTCTTCCTGTGACCTTTAAAAAATGTGTTTGCCTATATCAAAGGTGCCTGTGACACCATTTGTGGCTTAACTTGGCTGTTGGATGGAAACAATTTCATTTTCCTGCTCTGATTCATAGGTCCCTAATGACAGGTTACATGTTAATTCTTGTTTTCAGCAATTATCATGTCGTTGTGTTTTCACTGGGACCTGATAGCAAACATGATTGGAAAGAGCTTCAGGCTAAAGGCCTAATARTGCAGCAATGATACTTTTTATTTGCCTGTCTGAAAACAGTTCCCCCCCCCCAGTTTTTGTAGGCCTTTTCTAACACAAATRTATCAGAGGTGATTGTTCTTTACTTGTTTTTTATTCTGTTTCACTACATTTAACAATGCTTTATATAGCATCAGTTTTGTTGCTGCTCCATCATCACCATGATTATTACTATAGGGCATAAAGTATCAAACTTGGATCACAGCTGTATTGTGCAGGAGCTGTATAAATGTGCAGTAAAGAGAGTCTCTGTCACAAAGTGTTAGTGGTGTCTGGAGAGATGAGGCAGAGAGGAACAGGCACAATTCAGCAATGTGCTCCTGCTGCACAAAAGCTCAGTTGTGGTGTTGGGTACACAGCAGTGCTTCAGACAGGAAGGGACACACATCTCGTGTGCGAGTTTGCAGGATCAGGAAGGATGAGCTCTTGTTGCCCTTCTAGAAATCAGTGCCTTTAAAATAAACTGGCCTTACATGTGACAGTGAAAAAAGCTCAAGCATCTAGATAGCCAAAGGTCCCCTACTTACCCTGGCAGGGTCAGAAATGCATGTAGTATTTAAGATTCACATTCAGAGTCACTGTAAAATTGCTCATTGTTTCAAATATCACTGAATTTATAGGATTTGTGCTGCACCCACTTGGAAGTCCCTTCTCCCAGCAGATGGGGGTAGGTGGTAGGGTTATTGTCCTTAGCAGAGGGATTCTCCTCTGTTCAGAAGGATTGCAAACAAGTAAGAAAAAATTCCTGTTTTCCCATCCTGAAGTGGGTAAGATAGACCTGTCTCTGCCTCACATTCAAAATCTCTCCCCACTGCCACTCAAGGCCCTTCCAGTTCCAAGGGACCAATTTTTTCTGCCTTCCTCAGTCTGACAAGCTGGACAGCCCAGAGAGGGTGAAAATGTGATGGATTGTCATCCTTTGKCTGGAGATGGCACTGAGAGTCACTTTTGCCCATCTGGAGCTCATCTTTGAGCCCCAGTGCATGCTGGTGCCAGTTGAGAGCAGGGTGATGGTGCCTGGCTGACTTTGCTGTCTCCTCTTTCTCCACAGCTCCTGTATGACAACCCCAAAGCCCGTCAGGAAGTCGAGTACCACTGGCGAGCCTCAGGCTGTCCTCACATCGTCCATGTCCTGGATGTGTATGAGAACATCCATCATGGAAAGAGGTGCCTCCTCATCGTCATGGAATGGTATGGAGCAGCAGCAGCTCCTCACCAGGCATTGCCTTTTGAGGGGTGGAGGGAGTGGGACAATGTGTTGGCTTACATGTGTTGGCACTTGGGGCATTCCTCAGCAGAATGATTTGAGTTTGTGCAGGAGATCTTTTGTTCCCTTTGTGGAATGGCTAAGGAAATGTGCCGCTGCTCCAGCCATCTTGTATGATGGAATAATGACAAAACTTAAACAGGAAATGAATTTTCATTGTGCTCCATAACAATTGTCCTCATTAAAGCATTGACTGATTAATAYACCCCTTGCAAGACGTGTCTACAAATACATTCTGCTTTGGTTGTGATCAGCTTTCAACTTCAGATGTAAATCCAATGATCAAACACCATCTGTATTATTGTAATTGTTTTGACTCCAATTTTCCCTATTCTCTCACTGGTCTCCAATACAACAGTTATTGTCTTCTTCACTGAGGACAAATTAATTAATAATTCTTTTAGGTATCTTTGCTTCTTCCTTTTCTCTTCCTCTTCACCCTTACATAAAATGAGATTATTGTCAGCCTCCCAGTGCCAGCACATCGGACCAGCTTTGTGTGTTGTGTTCACTGTGACAGGGTACATTAAACTGAAAGCACCAAAACTCCCTGGCCTTATTTTGTTTTCTATTTATGCCRTACCAGAATGTCTTTCTGCATTGATGTAAGTGAGTGTGGTGTTTAGAGAGCACTGGCATAGGAGGCAGCCTGTAATCTTTATCTGTTCCTGCTGTGGTTCCATGTGATTATATGGATGCACAGTCAAGTGTTAATTTTGCCCTTTTGTGCTAATAAAAGGTGGGGGGGGTTGTGTTCTTTGTTTCAGCATGGAGGGAGGAGAGCTGTTTAGCAGGATCCAGGAGAGAGGAGACCAAGCTTTCACTGAGAGAGGTGAAACATCACAAGTTTAATTTTAAAGTTTGTGAAAGATATTTCCTTTCTTTTCCATTTATCTGTCCCCTTGATTAGTTTCCTTTTAGGAATTCTTCTTTGATTTTATTTGTGGTGGTTGTTATTATTGTTRTTGTTGTTACTGTTATTATTTATCTGATTGTGTGTTAAGTGATTTCTGAAAGTTCTTGAGAATAAGGAATTATGAGAATTGGCCAAGTTCAGCCAAAATGGGGAAGGTTTAGAGAAAAATCTTCCTACAAATCTGCTCAGCTTCATTTCTGTTCCCCAAGAGCCTCTGTTCTTCTAATCCCTGGTGTTATGCCAGACCACCTCTGACATGATGAGTGCAGCTCCTGCTGTGATCTCTCTTYGGCTGTCCCTCAAGCAGCATCACTGCACAGCTCTGCTGTTGGGTCATGAGTGTAATGAGCAAATCACATCTGATGCAACATCTCTTAGTCAAGGGTTTTAAAGCAGTGCTTGATAGGAAGTGTCATTAACCCCACTGCAAACAAACCTGCCTGTCTGTAGGAGGGACTGAGCAGGTGTAAARCCCTGCCATAAGGGCTTTACATAGACTAGTCTTGCCATTTTTATTGTCTTTGCCAATTATTTTTAGAGTAGCACATGTGTGCTGGACCATGGTTCTCTTTGCCCCCTCACAGCAGACAAGGCCTTGTTTCTGCTCAGAGTAAAAATACCAGTATTTGGAAGGCGGTAGTGTTTGTAACTACTGGCCTTGAAAAATTATTAGAAGAAGAAGAATACACACGATCTCATAAATTACTGTGAGTTATTTTGCAAATCTGGTGTATAGGCCAGTCTGTATTTCCTTAGCCAGGGAGGAATCCTTTTTGATCCTGTAAGAGATTTGTGCAGGGAAAATGAACTTTARAAACTTCATTTGTTCTTCTCTAAAATATGAATTCCAGGGGGAAAGCTGGTTCCATGAACATTAACGATTACACTCTACTAAAAACATTGTTTTTCTATGTTATATAGCATTGTATAACACTATAAATACTTTCTCAGGAACCACCTGGGAATGTTAAACTAAAAACCACCTTCATTCTTTCCTGAGATAAATGAGCCCTGTGTCACTGGATTCCCCAGGTTCACTGTCTGTTTATATGGCTAGAGCTTCCCATTAGGACCAGGAAGAGGAGGAGGTTGTGCAAGGTTTTCCCCAAAGAACGGGAGTGTTTCTGCATTCTGGCTGTCCTTGCCTGAGATTGTATAGTTCCAATCTCAAGCCATGTGAAAAAGGATTCCAGGTTACACTACAAGTTCTGCCTATGTAGAACCCAGAGGATCAGGTTGAAGTTTCTATTGTTTGCCTGTCAATGGAGATGTGATATAATGCTGACATGGGAATGTCATTCCTCCTTGCTCTGAAACCTTTTCCTGTGTAACTGAGCCCTTCCAAACTCCCAGAGTACTGCTGTTGCAAGGCGCCTCTCCACCACTAGAATTTCCCACTGGGGCTATGTGTTAAATTTTAGAAATGTATTATTTCAAAGGTGGCAGTTTGGGTTTTGTTGAACAGAACTGTTGATTTTCTTCCTCTTGATGAAAAGCTTCTAAAGACAGTGACGAATGAAGATGTGATCTCTACTAAAATTACTATATTGTTATGTTGCTCTATTTTTAGAAAATCTATGAGATCCTMTTCCTACCCCTGTACTAGAAGCTGAAAGTTAAATTTCTGTCTCAAACAACCAAGGGCATGTCCTGGACAATCAGAGATGTGTTCTGGTTGGGGCTCCTTTCTTAACAGTTTTTGCTTGTGTACCTGCTCTGCTCCTGCTGCTTTGATTGGTGAGCACATTAATTTTCAAGCTCCTGAGGAGTCTGAGCTGTTGGGCTGCAGTGCCTGCTCAGGAGCAGGACTGAGCAGCCGGGCAGTTGGGGGCTTGCTGCCTGCAAACCTGAAACACAGCTATTAGGACTGATTTTAGGGTTTCTTTAGTCTTGACACTTGCCCTGTATTCCAGCAAGCTATTGGTAAACCATAAGCATTCCCAGGCATGTCCCTGAATTACAGTGGGAATGTTAATGTGACCTTTCTCTAAAATTGTCTTTATAGAGGCATCTGAAATAATGAGGGACATYGGGACAGCCATCCAGTACCTGCACTCAATGAACATCGCACACAGAGATGTCAAGGTGAGSCCCCAAGGTGTGTGGGCAGGGGGGAAAGAGCTTACAGCAGGAAAATAACTGGGCAGCCATGATTTAAACAGAACTGGGAGTGTGATCAGATGGTCAAAGTGTTCCTGTTCTTCTGCCAGTGTGAGAAAGGGTTTGCTTGCTAGTTTGCAACTAGTCCAAGGTTGGAATATTCATGTGTGCTAATGCCTTCCAGTTGTTTGTGGAATGCAGAAAAATCTCATGATAGTCAGATGCTTGGTTAAAGAGGTACTGCCCACTTGCAATCCATTAATTAGCAAGAAAATAACACTGCTTCAAGTGAACTTATACTAGATGCCTCTATGTAGACTTTTTGCCGGTTATTAGTTGTTTTCAGCATCATATTTGCATAAAAAAACCCAAACCAAAAAAGCCAACAAAAGCCCCAAACAGCAAAACTTGCTTCAGAAAAGGGAGAAACTTCTGGGAGGAATAATACCAATTTCATGCATCTAACCTGCTTCAGTAAGCGTGTGAATATTTGGGCAAGTGGGGAGGTCTCAGTTACTGCCAGTTTTAATGAGGTAAAGTTTGAACCCTAGTGTCATTGTAGAGGTTTGAGTTTGCARTGTTGTATTTTGTGTTCATGCTGTGAAGTGCACAGCATAAACAGAGCCAAACTCACTGCACCCTAGAATTTCCAGTGCAGGGACACAGCGTGGGATGCAGTGTGCTGGAGACTGAGGCATCAGATCAGTTCCACAGCTCTACACATGTTTCTGTGTGTTTAGCTGGAGGGAGAACTGACACACCATGGTGTCACCAGGGGGTAAAACTGGGAAATGAGTTGAAATAATTGYCGATAATGGAGATGTCCTGTTGTTCCAGTTCTTGGGCATAAGCTCTTGTATTTCCCTCTGTGCTACTTCTGCCTGTATGGAGTGTGGAACAAGAGTGGAATTAAAATTAACTCGGGTTTCGGGAGACAGAGGAGGAGAGGAGGGGGCAGCAGGGAAGTGACTCTGTCTGTACCAGTTAATTTTGATAGAGTTATGTCAGTTGCTCATGGGTGCTTTGGCTGAGGATTTCCCTTGTCCTGCACCTCAGTTGCTTGAGGGCATGATGTGGTGTCAGATCAGCTGCAGTCATGATGTAGATCAGTGCCAGCAAGTGCAGGGAACTGGGAGAGGTTCAAGAAGCCAGACTGGGTGCCCATTGGGTAAGATCTTGTGGTTTGCTCTCCCAAATACCTTGCTAGGAAGGATGATGTTACTTAGTCTGAGGAAAAGTGCTATGTGTTAGGAGGGAGTTTTCCATGGTTTTTGGGGGGGATATGATGGAAGTAAGAAGACCTAAATGTTGATGGTGGGTTTGGCCTGTCAGCTCATTAGAGACATCTTTTCATTGTCCCATTTATCCTCTTTGGTGACCTTCCAGCCTGAAAACTTGCTTTACACGTCTAAAGGCAAGGATACTGTGCTCAAACTCACAGACTTCGGTTTTGCCAAAGAAACTACTGTAAATGCACTGCAGACCCCCTGTTACACTCCTTATTATGTGGGTGAGTTATCCAAGACACATTTCTTCTGTGTTTGAGTCTGTCATTCCTYCCCTTACAGTGGGTGGGAGATCTGTTGTGGATGTAATGTGAAGTGTTAGCCTGCAGGATTTAAACTGGGATCCAACCCAAACTATTCTGGTTCCAGTACAGTTCAGTGCTCCTGCTTTCTGCCTTGGTTGCAGAGGAGACAYAAATAAGGATATATAAGGAGGGAGGGAGAATTCCTTCTGATTACACTTGAAGTAATCCTGATGCTTCCTCTGAAGGATGCAATATTAAATGTAATATGGATTGAGTTTCATATTTGGGTGTTGCCTTGCAAAGTTTTCCTTAGCTTAAACTAGTGCAATAGGAGAGAAGAGTATTGCCTCAGCTGTAAAACTTCTTTAAGCTGGCAAATTGAGGAATTAGTAATAAAAGACCAATGTGACTTAATTGCAGTAGAATTTTTCCTTTGTTTTGTCCAAAGCTGAAGCACAGTGTAATAAATGCCACAGCAGACTGTCCTTTATGCACTCATTTTAGTCTTGAGTTAATAGTCATTCATCATACTGTATGACTGGGGCAATCCATGCTTGGAATTTCTTTGCTGGAAAAAAGACTAAATTTGTTCAAAAAATTACTTCTCTGATTTAAAATTTTCATAGTTTTTTGCATTGAAAGTTACTGTTATTCACTGGTAGCAGATAATCACATTAGCAATMCTCTTTTTCTGATGCCTTCTATATTTTTGTAAGCTGGGTTTAGTGATAAAGTGTTAAGGAGTTTACACACGTATGTTTTTATGCCTTTATATTTGTGTATAAACAAGCTGACATTTCCCTTCTCAACACCTTTTTATAAACCAGCATGATTGCTCATATGTTTAAAGAATAATTTTCCTTACAAAATCAAGCTCCCTGCCAGTTTACCTGCCCCAGGGGACAAAAAAATCCCCTCTAAATGTATCTCTGTCTAATTTTGTTACTTAGTGGAAAAAATATGGTGCTCTGGAGGCCAGAGAAAAATACAGTGCCCTGTAGCTGCTGGAGCTAAACACACCACCTAGGTATCGTTCAAAATTTTATCACAGCTCAAGTAGGGCCTTTCTATTCTGATTGCTGGAACATATGCTCCTGCCTCTTTCAGTGCAGTGTCTCCCTGTACACATTTAGCTGGAGCTCCTTCTGCTTTTTGGTAATCTTAGTACTCTCTCGAGCAGAGAAACACCAAGGTGAGGACTAGGGCATTTTTCCAGCTCTGTTCCTCTTTTTTAAAGCTACTTTAGATGCTTTAGGAACTTGTCAGTAGAAAATGCTACCCAGTTTCTGCAGAGAGTTATATTTTTTAATGCCTCTGATACCTGTTGTTGAAATGTGCTACTTACAAGGTGATGGAGATAAAAAGAAATATCTGATATTCTTATAGTTTGTGATCTTAATCTTCCCCAGCCCCAGAAGTCCTTGGTCCTGAGAAGTATGACAAATCATGTGACATGTGGTCATTGGGTGTCATCACRTATATTCTGTAAGTATTTGGGAAGAGACTTGGTGAACAGAAAGAGAGCACATCTTGTTAAATCKGCACTAATTGTTCACTGGGATCATGCAGTCTGCAGTAGCATATAAGCTTGATTTAAGAGATGAAAGGACTTTCCTGGCTATAAAAATTCTTTTTTCCACTCTTGCAGCCTGTGTGGGTTCCCTCCATTCTACTCAAATACTGGTCAAGCCATTTCTCCAGGGATGAAGAGAAGAATTCGGATGGGGCAATATGGGTTTCCCAATCCAGAGTGGGCTGAWGTATCAGAAGAAGGTAGAAATGCTCCTTGGTGCTCATAAGTGTGTGCATGGGGTGTGCAGTGCTGCAGTGCTTACAAATAGACTATTTCTAAAAAMCTGTCTGAGCTTTTGTTTCTTTTCCTTTTACAATTTAAATCAATTTTCTGTWAGGTGACGCAGAGAGAGACTGGGAACTCAGCAGCCAGCAGCCTCAGTGCTACAAAAAGTAAATGACTACTGAAAACCTTCTTTCACAGTCCAGCTAGTGCTAGTGAATGCTGAGATTAAGCCCTCTGGAAACAGAAGTCTCTAATYCTGAGAAAGGAGACAGCCAGGACAGTTCCAATACAAGCTGAGCTGGAAGAAAGGCAAACTGTCTTAAGATCTCATTCAGTCTTTGCCGTCCTTGGTGATCCAGCCAGCAAGGATGGCAAGTTTTCATGCTAGCTTTTTGGGATGTGGGAATTTGCCAGCCACCACTTCAATCGAGGTCAACAATTTATTTTGTCAATAAGTCATTGATCAAAAGCTGCTGGGCTCAAACTAGTGTCCTGAAAGTGKGTGTTTTTGATTTCCTCTTATCCTGACAGTCTCATAAGCTGGAAGTCTCACCTACCTGTCATATAAATGAGAAAGGTCAGCAATGTCTGGGCTCATMTGTTTTTCTTACAAGCCCTTTATTTTGCTGTGATCCTGTTTCTGTCTGCTGTTTAYAGTAACAAATTATCCTTGGATACTGCTGTGTTCTGTGGCACCTTCACCCCTCACTGGATCTCCTGGCTGCGTGTGCAGCACAGCCTGCTGAGCATTGTTGAGGGAGATGTTTTAGTTATGGGTTTCTGCCTAGATATTTTCTGTGCTTTGGGTATTGTTCCTATTGCAGGAGCTGTTAACATGCTAGAGGAGCCCAGTGAGAGAACATGCACTTGGACAGTGTGTAGGGTTTCTGCATGTTTGCATCAATGAAGATAGTGGCCCCCTACCTTTGATCCTGTTAAGATCTCATTTGTGGGTGTTCTTCAGGCTGATGAGGCACCTTCAGCAGCTTCACCTGCTTCTTTTTTCCCTGCTTTGTGCTGTTCTTGCCCTTTGCAGGCTCTCTCAACAAACTAAACTTGTCCCTCTGGAACCTCTTRAAAGCATTTGGTTATCTTGCATGTGATGTTCCTAAAAGAGAACTCTTATTTAGAAGCTTTTCTAGGTTCCCCAAGAAAGTTTTGTGTAAGTCCTTTTAAATAATTTCCTTTGGATGCAGTGTTTCCAGTCTGTCCACCCACATTAGTGAAACTCTTGTCTAGACTCTCACCATCTCATATTTTAGTTATTAGTACTCTTGCTTTGGCAGATCCCATATTCATAGGAAGCTRCTGCAAAGCCTGTTTGTGCAATCCATTTCTTTGACTTTTTTGTCTTTTTAGCAGCCTCTCGGTTGTCAAAGTTCATTGTCCATTTTTTCCACAGCCTGCACTGGTTGTTTTCTTCCATCATTTCTCAAAACATGAGTTTATGTATTCATTCAGCCCATAATGCCCAGCTTGTTGCCATCTTTCAGGCAGGCAGCTTAGGAGCTTTCTGTTCCTGTGCTTCTCTTTTCYTCCAGTTGTTGCTCTCAAAGCTCTTGTTTGGTGATGTAGAGAGCACAGCTATAATCCCCAGCCCTTTTCTTTCCTTCTTGCCCGTTTCTTGGATGTTTTCCTATTTTGCCCTGTAAACACAGTAACCTGCCACACTGTACATGACCTCTTAACACAGTCACAGCAACAGGAAGGTGTTTTCAGTTCTGCAAAATTGTGTTTCTTCATTCAGCAGGTCCCTGTATTCCCAAGGTTATTTGGAAATGCAGTGCTAGACTACACCATGCTCTGTTGGTTCTGTTTTTCAGCCAAACAACTAATTCGCCATTTACTGAAGACTGACCCAACAGAGAGGATGACAGTCTCTCAGTTTATGAATCACCCTTGGATTAATGTGAGTCTTGTATCTCTTTTTACATCACGAATTGATTTTTGCATGCAGGACTTAGGTGTAGCTCCGCACAGCACAGCAAGAGAAGGACTGTTATTACTGTTGATACCTTAATTAACCTCCTGTGCCCTCCACACAGAGTCACCTGCCCATAAAACCACAATTCTTCTTGGTGCTACCAGAGGACACACAAGGAGAGACACCCACAGTACTGTCCTTGGAAGCAACAGCCGAATATGTCTCTATRTTCTGTGAGCAGGCAGTCACTGTTGACTCTGCAGCATATGCATGTGTTACTCTCTTTAAAAATATAAAAATAAACTTTATGGGCTTACTTCATCGGTGCAGGATTTTAAGAGCTATTATTAGCGGTCTCAGGCACCATTGTGCATAGCTGTGTTAGTGGGAACATGTTCCTATGCTCAGTGGGAATTCTCATCCTTGGCAGAGTTTAGAAATGCTTGGGGGAGGAGCAAGGGTCTCCTATTGCCCTGTGAGAGATTGCCAGGTAGGGTGGTACACAGAGCTATTAATGGACCCAGTTTCAGGTTTCATTCTACAACTTGATTATATTTGCTTTTCCTTAAAATTATTCTTCTGGGGGAAAAAGAAAAAAAATACTTTATTAATACAATATTGACTATTTCAAATAAGAGACAAGGATCCCAAAAGTTGAGACTGAATTTCATTATGCCATCTCTGCTCTGTAGGTGTCCCTCAAAATAGTAGGTTATACTTCTCACATTTGTGTCTAAAAAGACACCAGTCTTGTTCTTGCTGCCCAAAAAAATCATCAACCAGGAATAGAACCAATTCTACTGTAGAATGCCCTTTGTTCCCATAGTGTGGCTGTGTCTGTGCTGATCCTTAGAGGATGGGGCAGAAGCAGAGGTGTGGCTGATAGTCCCCATTCTTGCAATGCCTGCTGCAGGATCTGAAAGTCCTTGGAAACCTGTAGAACACCCTGATGAAGTAGAAAGGTGTTGTCATTCAAAGTTGTCAAAGCTGAGAAACCGAGGTTGTAAAGACTCTGTAGAACAGACCCCAAGCAATGTTTCTTTTTTTACCAAATAAAAAGGTAACCACTGTTCAGAGTAAGTACCTCCAGCTTTAAGTGTTTGAAGTCTCAAGAAGGTGTTTCAGAAGTCAGCAGGTGAGGAATTTCATGGAATGATGCCTAATAGCTAAGGAAGCTGCCACCTACAGTGACACTTGTTACTTGGAACATTCACAGAGCCARTTAATGAGGGGACAATGAGAGACAAGGTCTGCAGACTGCTGCACCAGAGCCCTGCTCCAGTACCCTTTTGGGAAGAAAGATACAGGTTGACTTTTTTTTTGCTGAACCTATTGCTCACAGGAGGCAGATGGAGGGAGAGGGAAAGACCAATATAGTGTATGTCTGTGTTCTCCCTTTTCCTAAATCCCAAAGTGGAAACATATCTGGGGAGTTGCACAAGCAGTGGAGGAGGGTGCCTGTGTCTCCCTTTTTTTTTCCTTTCCTTGTTTTTCTTAATTAGATGGAAGGCAGAAGTATTTTAATATGAACTAGGCAAAAATTGTCAGTTCAGGTGGAGCACAGAATCCTCTAGTTCCTTGTGTATAAGATTTTTTTTAACAAGCAGCAGCTCACAGCAGAAGGAGACAGGGACAGGGACATCATGGAAGCCAGTCTGCTTGTTTTCCATTTCTTGTGTCCCAGCTGTGTTTGATAAAAYTGTACCCTGGCCAGCTGAGGTCCTTTTCCAGAGAATGCAAGAGTCAGTATTTCTGCTTCACTTCTGTGACTGCTGCACTGAGCTCAAGGGAACATAAGCACTGCTTCCAGTGTAGGGTTTGTTTTACAGGAATGTACTGGGATCTCCTTAGACTTTGTTCACTTTTACCTTGTATGGTATAGGATGCCACAGCAACCAGCAGCAAGCTTGAGTAGAAAACATCAGGAAAATAGAGTATCCAAATGAAACCATAGTTTGGGTTATGGACTGGCAAGAATTGCCATGATTCCTGCTGAGTTTAGCCAGGGAATTGTGCYTTGTGCTGTAGAAATTGTCCCTTATTCTAATGTAAAGTATGTCCTGATCTTTCATGGCAGGTGAACATAGATCTCAGTTTCATGTGGATGCACTGTCTTCTAAGATGTGCCTTGCTCAGAAGAATTGTGTCACTTCATCTTTGKGGCTCACTTAGTCTGGTGAAGTGGTAATCTCAGTTAAGGCATACCTACAAGAAAATGTCTCCTACAACAAATYCTAGGAGATAAAAGGCAAATTAACCACTTGAAGGCATTGACTAATGAATAGTGAAATCACATTAAAGTCTAAAACATACATTAAAAATTGTCCAACACTGGGTATTGGTTGGACTGGAAGGGAGCAGAGTGAAAGAAGCTCAGCACTGATTTGTCTCTCCATTTGTTCTTTAAAGACACTGCTGTSTGGGGACTGTTGTCCTTTTGTACTACACACATGAGTTCCCTTGTGGAGTGATTGGAAGAAGGAATAATGCGGGCCATTGGAGTATGTTAGATCAAGTTTTATGCCTTTCAYACACATAGAAGAGCAAGAAGTCACTTCCCAAACATTGTTTTTAGAAATTCTTTTGGTATTTTTCTCTTTTCTCAGAGATCAATGTCAGTGCCACCAACTCCTCTTCACACTGCWCGGGTCCTGCAAGAGGATAAAGACCACTGGGATGAAGTTAAAGTGAGTCAATTCAAGTTCAAATTTCTTTAAATCAAGTCTGATAGGAGGTGAAATGTGCTGCCTTCTCTGTGGATGTGCATTTCCTTGGAGACTGTGGCTATTTCGAATAMAATCATGTCAAACAAGGGAGGCATAAAGAGTCTTGGTTATAACAGTGGTATATATGATAACTGTTTAAAAAAAGAAGGTGTTTGAGTTTCATCTGGCAGCCTTACAGCTGCACCAGATRTCAACAAAGATGGTATTTATGATCAAAGGTATTAATGATGGTCCTGCTGAGCCCCTGTGTGTAACCGGGGAGCAGAAGGACAGTGCTGAGGCAGTTTGAACTTCTTTATAGTGAATAATGCAATGAAAATGTTGGGGGGACAGGTGGGAGGGCTGAGCTGCATTCCAGTTTTCTGCTCTTGAATTGTGAAACAACATGGAATAACCTTAGCCTTGTCTTGTTATGACATTTGGTGGGGGGAAGAAGGGAGAATAAAAGAATTGTGTCTTTTCCTTAATCTAAGCAGGTGGCTCACCTACTGTTTGTAGTGATTGCTGTTGAATGCTTCCTGCAAAGTGAAACTGTAGGGCAAACTTAAAGTCTTAACTCTTTCCTACTGGCCTTTAACAGGTTGGCATGCTTTTACAATTAATTCTGAATTTTCTGCATTTTAAATGCTTAGCATTTTGACAATTGCAWCATTCCTGTAGTGTATTTTATTGTTTACTGATTTTATTTTAATCACTGATGTGTAGTCTCAGCCGTTGAGCTATGTAAAGATACAATTKCCTAGGACCTAGGCAACATTTCCCTTCTGAGTCAGAGATCAAGCAGATATTTTCACTTAGCTGCCTTTTTTTTCCGAGTTTCTGAGAATTTGTTATGCCTGTGCTTTTGTATAGGTCCCAGAGGTATTCCCTTGAGCTACCAACATTCCCATGATATTGAATTGTTTTTCCTTTCCTGAACCAAATGCTTAGACATTCGTTTACTTAAACTCTTTTTTTTTTTTTACAACCTTATTAAAAAGTTTACAATGTGCCTGCACTTAAGCATTAATTCATACTAAGGAGGTGTGTGAATTTGAAGTACATAGTTTTAAAGACCTTTGTGTGGAAGCACAGAGCCAGCCAGGGAGAACTGCTGGGCATGGGGACAATGGGAGCATTCTGCAGAGTGGAATCCAGGCCAGCAGAGCATGGTCCTGTGTGCTCACATGTGAAATGCTGTGTGAGCAGTTCCTGCAGACTGAGCCCATGGCAGAAGAAGCCTTTGGTCCCTGTCCAGTGCAGCAGAAAGGGCTCAGCTCTCTGTGGCCATGGGGTGACAGAGGGCTTCTTGTGTCCCTTCCTCTGCAGGCTGTAGCGTGCGATGCCTGTATTCTGGCTGCCTCAGGGCCTTCAATACGTTGTTTGCTTGGTTTCAGGAGGAGATGACCAGTGCTTTGGCTACCATGAGGGTGGACTATGATCAGGTGAAAATCAAAGACTTGAAAACGTCCAACAACCGCCTCCTGAACAAGCGCCGCAAGAAGCAGAAGCAGGCGGGCGCCTCCTCTGCAGCTCCAGGCTGCAACAACCAGTGAGGACAGAAACCAAAGACCTGTGGGGGGAGGGTAAAAGTTCAACAGAGCAATTTAAAATCATATGATCACCTCTGTCCATACCACAAAAGCAATGAGATTGTGAAGACACTATCCTGCAAAGAGGGAATGGTGTGATAAGTTTTTATAACTTGAATCAGGGCTTTGCATTTAAAGACTAATGGATCTGACATGATTCTGTTGCATATTGCCAGGGAAGGCACAGTAATGCCAAAAATGTTACAAGTTTTTGGTTTGGCTTTAATTGTGTAGGACAAGAAGAAAGAGCAGGAGGCAGTCTCAGCATACTATTGCACTGAGGCTTTAACAGCCATCTACAAGAGTATCTTCTGCTGCTGTTTTATCTGGGGAATAGAAAAGTGCCAAGAGTTCTGCTAAGAGTGTTTTAGTAGTTTGGTAGAATTGGTAATAGTCTATATTTCCAARCTTACCTCCTATAGTACAGTGTATCACCTAAACTGTAAGCAGTTATTCTTGTTACAGGAAAAAGCATCCATACATTTCCATTTTCATAAAGTCTTCATGTAGTCTTGTGAAGATTTGRGTTTGTCATGGATTCACATTTGATAACATGTAAGTTTTCTGAACTGTAGCCACTGCATTGTGTCTTTGCCACTGTCAGAGCCCTCTCTTGTAATGTTTTGAATTTAACTGGTACTTTATGTGAAGAGTTTCAGTAAGGATTTAAGTAATGGAAAGCATTCTGCAGAGAATATTGCTGTTCCTCTAGCATCCACAACCTCCAGGCGTGCAGCTGGATATGCAAGGGACTGCTTTAGAAGAGAGATTTCTGAAATTCAGGAAGGAGTGGCAAATGCATGTTCTCTGACTGGACCCTGGAGTATCCCTTCTGGTAATTATCTCCAGATCCCATGCCTAAGATTTGCTGATCACAGCAAATTGTGGGGTGTTGGGGTTTGTTCTTTTCCTGGGGTCAGGAGTGGGGAGGGTGCTATTTTTGTTATGGTGATTTGGCAGTATTTCAGGATCCAAAGATTTTCACCATTTCAGGAAAAATGCTTTAAAATATATCCACCCATTGTTTTTTTTTCCTACTTTAATTCTTTTTGTTTCATGGGAACCTGGCCCTGGATTGCTGCTGTTTTGTTTTATGATCAGAATATTTGCTCTCACTGTATTTTGGGGTGTGTCTTTGTTGGTTTATTTTTTTTTAAGTTTAAGTGAAGCAATTATTTGTGAAAGTGTTATCAGAGGCTGGGATGAAAATGATGTGCTTCCAGTGATGCAGGCAAGTACAGCTTTGTGGTAGGCACACAGAGTACCAGTGTTTTAATATGCCTGAAAGAATATAAAAAGACAAGAAGGAAAATGACTCCTGAATTGTCAGATTGGAGTGACACCAAGCAAAGCTCAGCTCAAGGCTTTGGACCTCATGGGAGCCCAGTTCTCATCTTCAGAGTGTTGAATGAGACCTCAATTCTCCTTTGTGAACTGCTCCTAGGGTTTTGTAACATGATTTATTAAAATCAGTTTCTAACATCCTTCCTCCTGTCATCCCTGTTTTTGTGGATTTGTTGCAGTTTGCRTTGCTTGGCAAGATACATCTGTGTTGAAGGTGACAGAACAGGGGAGAAGGAAAGTGTTCTGTGATATCCACAGTCAAAGGCTGCCCAACTTTGAGCATTTTATAAGATCACAGGTTTTGGKTTTAAATATCAATCTGTAAAATTGTGTTTTTAGATTATTTCCTGTTTCAGCTATCTATGATTATAGCATGTCCTGTATGTATTTGTTTTGCCATATTACTCTAATGAATTATGCAAATATTATTCACTACTTGCAAATGAATACTGCAGATGAAGAGTTGTGATGTGTTCAGGGTGCAGCAGTTGGAATYAGAGCCAGGTCCAAGTTTCTGTCCCTTTCTCCAAATGTTTTGAGGGAAATGTGTACCTCATTGCTGCCTTCCCATCTCTGTGAATGGGGGATGGATGTTCCCARGGCGAGCTGTGTGTAATGTGTAATGTCCTGCCTTGGGGACAGTGCTGTTGAAACTGTTGCAACCCAACTTTTTGCCTCTGCCTTGGCCAAGGTTTGAGCAGGAGCTCCCAGTTCCCACCTGGTGCCTCCTGGTTTGTCGGTTCAGTCTGGAGCTCAGGACACAYGTCTGCTCCTGGGAGTATTCCATGGGGAACTGTAGAACACACTTGGGCTTGATTCCTTCCTGTGGGGTTCCACTCTTTACTGCAGGTCAGAAGCTGGAGCTGAGGCACCTGGCACAGCACCTTCAGCTTTCTGTCCCTGTGTGGCAGGACAATCCTATCTCATTAAACTCACACTAACAGTTGTTGCCTTCTACCCTGCAGTGACAGYGCCCAGGAATACTGTAAAGCCCTGCAGGACCTAGAGGAGGGCCTCAAAATGGCACACGTGGAAGTGTTTGCAAGTATTGGACAGAAGGGTTTGTGTTTATTGTGCAGAGGGAAGGAGGAGACTCCCTGGGTGCTGGGAAGCAGCTGCCCTGTGGTGCACTGCTGCCCTGCTCGGGCACTGCTGCCTTCTGCAGCACAATGGAGCAGGACAGCTCATGTTTTACTGGCTCTGTGTCACCTGGAGCTGGGAGGGGCTGCCAGCACCCAGCTTTGGGGTGCAGGGGTTCCCCCAGCAGGGGCTGTGTGCTGGGTGGAGGTGTAGGGATRTACAGATCATCAGATGGACTCGGCTCCACCGGCCCTGGTGCACCACCTTCCCCCCGCCCTGCTGGCACAGAGAGCTCCCCAAAACCCAACCTGCCATCAGCTCCATAAAACCCAGCCTGCCATCAGCTCCCCAAAACCCAACCTGCCATCAGCTCCATAAAACCCAACCTGCCATCAGCTCCATAAAACCCAACCTGCCATCAGCTCCCCAAAACCCAACCTGCCATCAGCTCCGTAAAACCCAACCTGCCATCAGCTCCGTAAAACCCAACCTGCCATCAGCTCCCCAAAACCCAACCTGCCATCAGCTCCATAAAACCCAGCCTGCCATCAGCTCCATAAAACCCAACCTGCCCTCAGCTCCCCAAAACCCAACCTGCCATCAGCTCCCCAAAACCTGCAGTATCTCAGCTTTGCTCTGTGATATTCCTGTGGCTCTGCAGAAGATGTTGCCCCTCTGGTTGCCAGCTCAGCCCTGGGGAAAACCCTCCTCCTCCCTGCATTCACACACATTATAAAGAGCTCTGGTGAGCTGATGGTGTTATTTGGGTCTTGCCTCTTCCCCCAGCCATGTCACATAATAGGCTTTTTAGAACCTACTGCTCAGGATCCAAATTTATAGCCTGTTTTTAGAAAGGATAGGCTATTACAGAACTGATTATGCATTTGCATATTCATCAACCATATAGAGGAGGTAAAGAGCTGGGAAGGGAAAGAAGAAATGAATGGTCAATAGAGAAGGCTTCAAGGAGAACACAGATTAAAAGGTCTATTTATTTTTTACAGCAGAAGCTAAAAAAGGACTGCGCACAATTCCCCACCCCCATTCCTTTTCCCAGCGATTGCTCATGGGCTGCTGCCTTCCCTTGTTTCTGTGCTCTGTGCTCCTCACCCTCGTGGGTCATGTGCTCTCACCAGTGCACTTGCTCTGATCCACACACAGATGTTGCRCAGGCATGCAGGAAATTCCCACCCTCACTTTCCCAGCTTTTGCACTGCACACTCTTACCTCTGACCACCTGTGCCACATGGTGAACCTGGTTTTGACATGGTGCAATTAAAAACTCACATTAATTATAAGCTCTTGGCCTAATTCTGTGTTTTTCTATTTGTCAAAACCCAGCATGCAGTCCTGGGATTGCTTTTCTGTCTTAACACTTCACTGCCTTGAGTCTGGAGGCCCAATTACRTAAGTGCTTCTGACTTGTCTGACATGAGGGATAATGAGAATGCTACATACCCAGTTTGATCTAATTTCCCTGTCCTCTTTTCAGTTCACACTTTATTTGGCCCATGTTTAGACAAAGGCGCTTTTGAAAAAAGGAAGCTTTAGAGAGGAGGAGAGARCCAAAGGTTTTAATTACTTGCACGGAATCATGAGCACTTGTACTGTTTTAAACCTGTGGTCCAGGTGGGGAGGAGGTGTTAATGTGTGCCCAGTTACTCTGATGTGTTCTCAGCTTAGCCTAAGGATGGAACGAGCTCAGCTAACAAACCTCAGGGACAGAGGGAGGGAAGGCAAGCAGGGAATGACTTCACATGCAGAGAACTCCTTTTTTTCTAAGAGTAAATGTTTTGGGGAGGGTTTTTTTTGTGGAAATATGTGAATTTTCTTTTTCCTAGGTTCTGGTATTTCCCCTCTTCACCAAACAGTGCTCAGTAGTGGAGCTGGCATAGCTGGGAATGGACGTAGTTAATTCTGTTTTAGAGAGCCTAAAAAGGATGAAGACAATGAAACAAATTTGCGAGACAGAGAACACATAGTCAAAACCTCAAAACAAATCTTGTTAAAAATTCTTGCAAACTAACAGGCAAGTCTTCAGGTCCATAGTTAAATGTATCTCATATGGGGAAAATTGAGTTTAGAGCAAGCCTAGGTAATAACATTTGCTGAAGAAATGTTTCCCTGAAATCTTTGCACCAGGTAAGAAAATTATTTTTTGAGAATTAAGTCCAGCTGTAAAATAGGATTTTTTTYCAGTCTGTGTGGTTAGAGAAATTTAATGGAGCAAAGGGAGCAGAAATGGGGGATGACAGGTCGTGTTGAAAAATAAGATAAGAAATGTCTGCTGTTGTATTCTACTCCAACTTATATTTTTACTGCAAGTGCTACCTCTGTACAGACATAGCAAGATAGATTCAACTCTTTATTAGACTTTTTTAGCACTGGAGAAGGAGGATGTTGCTGCACTCTAGGGAAATGTGGAAGATAACCCTGTGATTGTAGATGAACATCTATTCTGGTAAATCTGTAAATGATGCCTAGCATTAAATTTATTTTAAAATTTCCTGCCTCATGAATCTGCCAGATGCCAAAGTCTCACAGGTCTGCTCTAACTGCATGAAGGCACAGAGGCATCACTGTCAGTGGATTTTCTTCTGCAATTTGGGACCACAGAAAGAAGCAGTTGCTGAAATGTGCTGAAGTGGTTTTAGTTTCCAGGAGCCAAAAGAGGAAGAAGGCCTCTTTCAAATAAGATGACAGAAAGGGCCAGGCTGTCTTTTACCTGGGGAGGGGTAGTACTTGAAGGTAACTTGACCTTTCTTTATTTCAGCTCCCAGAGTTGCTGATAATGAACATGTTTTAGCTCCATGGGGCTGCAGGCCCAAGTCAATGGTGAAATCTCTGCTCCTTTGACTCCCTGCTGGAGCCTTTCCCACTGTGAGCTAGGGAAGTGCACTTACTGGGGCCATGGTTGCAAACCATTAAGCATTCTTGGTCCTGGGGCTACAGTGAAGCTGAATAATGAAAAAAAAAAAAAAAGGAGCTGCATTGTTTGCTTCCATGTTAGGCTTCTAAATGTATTGGTTCAATTTTCCTGCCTTCAAGGTCCATGCAGGCACTGCCAGTGTAGCAGCTGTTTCTGCATTTGTTAACAGGGAGCACAAATGCTTCTTTTAGGGACTGCATTTCTTTGTCTGAATTTCAAAGCTGGAATAAAACTCTTTAATAGCATGGTTATTTTGCCTAATATGTTCTCCCCAAACTTCCAGGCTAATCCATTTGGGAAACATGGAAGATGTTCCCAAGAGACTTCTTATTGCTTAGCTACTGAAACACCTGCTAAAACTGAGCTCTTTTAAAAACCGAAAATTATTTAAATGTGAAAAAGAGTGGGTTGATCTGGAAAAGAAACTTCTCAAAAGACTAAAATTAGAATGGAATGTGTTAGAAGAGAAAC